TTCGTAATTTATATCTTCGTAATTAGTGCAAGGTGTATAATGTATTAAGTATTAATACACCATTGAACCATTCCACCTTGATTTAGTTAGTACTCAGTGATAAGTCTAAATGAAATAAGAATTGAATGTACAAACGAATTAAATAAAGAACAAATTGCTTGTTCTTATGATATTAGCTAATATGTTAGACCAAATGCCAGGAAGGTAAAATTAATTAAATTTTTCTTGCATTAATGATTATAGTTTAATTTTAATATGAGTGAAACTTTATAAAATAAAATAAAATTTGTATTGTTAGGTTAAGTTTACTAAGTATTTAATATGTATAAATATATATATAAATAATATGTATGTTTGTATAAATAATATAAAATATATTTACAATTGAACTTGAACCCCCCCCTATTTTGAAATCCTGGGCACGCCACTGTAAGTTGTCAGGATTATAAACATGATAACTTCTGTGTTTGTCTTCTTCAGTTCTTCACACGATGTAGAGAAGATAAGGTGACACCGTGACACCATGTCCGGCATGTCCACTTGTTTGTTCTTTCATTCTTTGCTTGTACCATAGAATATTCTATGCTTGTACATATTCCGGTCGCAAATTTTCTCGACAGTATGGTAGGTAGCGCCACCATTCGCCTGAAGGCCGGTTTTTATATTGTTATTAGTTTATTACATTGTTTTCATGTAAAATAATAAAAATTATATAAATTTTTGTTGTTTTCGATAGTCGATACTATTAGTTAAGAATTTAGAATTGTTTAAGAAGTAATTATTATAATTCAAGTAAGAATTATTTGTTAGTAATTATTATTCTATTCAATTATGTAAAATTTAATATAAATTTAATGCAGGAAGTTTTATTTTAAAAGTATTATATTTTAACAATTATATATTTATAAGTTACATTGTTATACGAGTTTAGACCAGTGGCGTATTTACGGGAGGGGGATTGATCCCCCCTTAGTATTTTTTTCTATTATTAAAGAATTTACCCATATATAACTAGACACTAAATCGTGTTTAGTATTTTTAAATTTTACTTTTATGTGTGATATTCAATGGGTCATCCCTTCCCTATAACAATTGTTAAATACGCTTTAGACTGCTTRAGCACTAATTAGTGCTTTGTTTAKTTTTTTATTTTTTATCGCATACAAAATTCATCTGGAAAGTAAATAAAATTTTATTATATTTTTGGTTAATGCATTTGCATGTTCATCACACCCGAATTGTATATTAAATTTGTCTGTCCTTAGCTCATTTAATATTAAAAATAATAAATTTTTTTGTATTTTAGTTTTTGCAATAATTGAGTAAATAGCATCTTCG